ATGTTATTATTATATTTAAAAGAGAGAGAATAATAATAATATAAATCAAGGTTTTTAAAATCCAACTGGACAACGAGCCGGTCAGAGGTACAATTCTCGAGTTGAAAGGTCTGACCATTTGAACTGAACAAACGACCCGTTCTAACAAAAAATAAATAAAAAATACAAATGGTCAAAACCGTTGGATGGTTCAAACGGTTTGACCACCTAGGTCAACAGTTTGGAGTAAAACGGAACTAATCACCTGACTAATTCCCAGTTTTTCCGGTCTAATATGGTTTTGAAAACCATGATATAAATCAAATAATATAAATAGGTTGAGGTTAAACAATCATAATCTATACTTATTATATATTTATCTATACTATAATTAATACTTATTGTATTTTCAGTAAGTATTTATTCTATTTTTGATAAATATATTTTCAAAATTAAGTATAAATTTATTTTTGTTTTGTTATTTAACAAGAACTTTTCAATAATTTTTGGAGATTAAAATACTATTATTTAACTTTTTAAATTTAATTTATTGATTAATATTTATTAGAGATTAAACTATTATTTGAGATTATACTATTTACTAACTAATTTAATATATTTTTTAGTATTTATTGTTTTTTATTAGTTATTTATTATATTTTCAATAATTGTGTACTTTCGTTATAAATTTTCAATAATTATTGGAGATTAAACTATTTTTATATATTAGAGATTAGACCATTAATTTAATTGAAATTAGGAGTGTTCATAGGTTGGTTCAGCTCAGTTATAGGTTGTTTGGCCAACCAAATTGATATGATCAAGTTGGGGACTAGGTCTCTCGAAACTGACTAACCATTAGTGAAAATTGGCCAACTCAGGTTGTACCAGTTTAGGTCGATTTTTGGTTTGGTTAGTCAGTTCAAAAGATTTAAACTTAAAAAATTAAATTTAAATTTTAAAAACATTATGATGGTATTATTAAAATATAAATTAAAAATTAAATTTGTGATATAAAATATTTTAGACTAAGAAATATGAGAAATTTTCTACTTTCTTGTATTAAAAATTATATTAAAAATAAGTTATTAATATATATCTACAGTTAAGTCGTTCGATTTTGGCTCGATTTACAAATGGTCAGAGTGAAACCGATCCAACCTGGTTGGATTGGGAAATTGTTGAACCAAAGCTTATCAGAAATACTAGAAAGCTAACTAACTCAAGTTGGGTTGGTCGGTTTTAATAGTTTGATGAATAACCCTAGCTATAACTAATTATTGTTATTTTTGTATCATAAAATGTTACTAAAATAATATATAAAATATAAATAATTATTTTAAAAAGTAAAAAATATAAACAATTGCTTAACAAATCCCATGCATGTATGCAAATATGTGCTCTATATGTATCTATTATTGTATGTATATAATCAAGCTTGACTTTAGCTACCTAAGGGATAAACTTGGGCCCAACCTAAAAAAAAAGAAAAAGAAAAAACCCAAACTTTTGAACTTAGGCCTAGGCCCAAATCGAGGATTGAAAATCAGAGCAAGCTTGTCTATAATTACGAGCTAGGTCAATTCAAGCTCGAGTTAAGCCCAAATAATTTGCCCCCTATGGACCATTGACCAAATTAGATGCAAAATAGTTTTCTTTTTAATTTAGTTTAGTTTTTAATTCTATTTTTATCATTAATAAAAATAACGCTTAGCTATCACACTTATTTTTGTTTAATATGATGTGTGATGCACCCAAATGTTTTTTTACAAAATTTCTATATTTTCAATAACTTTTGTATCTCTATCTTTTTTAAAATTTTCTTATTTATTTATAATATCATGGGTTGATCCATTTGACCTAAATGGTTGAACCATTGGCCCGCCACTTGAATATGAAAATGGTTTTGTTTTAAATCTTGTATTTCATTTCTATGGAATAAAAATACTTTTTTATTTTGCATGCTTAATGTTGTTTAGGAATGGCAACGGGGCGGGTTCGGAGCGGGGATTACATTCTCCATCCTCGACCCTGACCCCCAAATCATTCCCAATCCCCCGTCCTCGATCCCTGTCGAGGAAAGGAATTCCCCTCCATCCTCGACCCCGACGGGGCTTCTTTGAGTCTTTCTCTGTCCTCTGTTAAGTTTTCTGTCCCCAAACCCGATTGGGGATTCAGTAATAACCTCATCCCCGACCCCGACCCCGCCAAAGTACTCCCCATACCTGACCTCGTCGGGTCGAGGAGCTTGGATACCCATTGGGCCCGAGGACAGGGAAATTGCCACCCCTAATGTTGTTTGATATGATAAATAGATAATATTGAAGGTGTGGCTAATTTTTTTCACATTTTTTATAATATTTATAGTATTTTTATTTTTAAATTTTTATTCTTTAACCATGAGAACATTGGTTGACCCATTTGACACCAATGGTTGAACTACTTACTTGCCACTTAGAGAAAAGGGGGCTTTATTTAATTATTTTTCATGTTGGTTTTGAACACAAGTTTTACATTTTTTAAAATATTAGATATAGATTTATTTTATTAAATTTATATGTGAGACACAAAAATACTTCAAATAAAGTATCCAAAAAATTCTAAAAACTCTACACATATTTAAAATACTAAAAATAATTAAAAAAATATAGAAATTTAACAATATTTTATATTAATAAGGGTATTTATTGGAAATAAATAAAAAGTATAATTAGTAGTACTTTATTACTAAAAAGTACTAAAAATTATTAAAAATATATTCAACCCAGAAATTATTGAAAATTAGCTGTATTTTTTATTAACTATGGTATTTATTTAGTTATTTAATTAATTTTGTAGTGACTAACAATGGCATCTAATTAATTTTTTAGTGACTAACTATTTATTTAGTTATTTATTAACTATGAAATTTACTGAAAGCAAATGCAAATTAATTTTGTAGTGACTAATATGCACAAATAAATAATGAAAATACTGAAAATTATTGAAAAATACTCATATGCAAAAATTATTGAATAATAATGAAAACCCCCAAAAGTTAATTAAAAATCCGAAAATCTTGAAAAACCTAAAGCTTAATTAAATACTAAAAATAATTAAATAAATTGTATTTTATAGCAAAAAAATACTGAATAATAATGGAAAAAATAATGTATTTTAATTATTAATAGTAATATAATTAACAAAGTTACCGTATTTTAAATAAATATAGTAATTTAATAATTACAATATTTTAATAATTAATAATAAAAAGTAACAAATCATTTATAACTTAGCCTAACCCAATTAGATCTATAAATTTGCAAGATCAAGCAACTATTTTCTTTTGAGTTAGGTCTAGCTGAGATATGCACCATGCCCACACAATTTCATGGATGATCATATCCAAAGTCTAATTGGGTATCAAACTTTTGGAATCCAAAAATCATAGTTTTATAATTAACACGAGTCTCTTTATCAATAGAAAATGTGCAAGACCGAGCCCGAGCCTAGCCCTTATATAAAGCCCGAAGTTCGAGCCCGAGCCCGAAGCCTAATTTATATTTTCTATTAATTTAGTAATAATTTAATAAATTAATAAACTAATTTATATTTTCTAATAGTAAATTGATATTTATTAATAATTTAGGAAGCATATATATGTGTTATTTGTAATAGTATCGGACTAGGCATATTTGAGAAAGCCTGAGCTCGAGCCCACAAGCCTAAAATTTTGTCCAAGCCTGAAAAATAACAGGTCAGGACGGGCCGAGCCGTCGAGCTACCTAGCCCATGAATAGGTCTAATTGTATATACAAATAATTGTATACATAAAAAATCATATGGAATAAAAATTTAAACATCTTTTTCAATTTTTCTAAAAATGAACCTCTCATAGTTTGGCCCGGTCTACGGCCTAGCCTGGCCCAAGGCTCGGCCCAGCACGACCCAATTTGCTCCTCTACTTGAACCTGCCCAATACTAGGGACAAGGCAGAGAAATTCGAGGATTCCCCATCCTTGATGAGGAGTGGGGTGCCTTGCCCTTGAACTCGCCCGACATTGAGGAGTGATTGCCTTGCCTTGAACCCACTTGACATTGGGGACGGGGCAGGGATGGGGTAGAGTGCATTGACTATGGAGCTGGAACAAGGATAGGGTGCCCTACCCTGAACCCACCCCGTTGTCATTCCTATATAATTGTTAATTATTTGTGAAATTAATAAAAATGTTAGTTTTGTAATTATTTTTATTTATTTAAAGTTAATCAAAATTGTATTTAAAAATAATAACAATAATAACAATTATTAAAATTACTATAAATTATTAATAAAATTAAATTTATTAAAAAATATTGTTCACATTAAATTAACAATAATTATTTTCTATAAATCAACATTAAATGAAAATACAATTATTAAAATTTTAGATATTAACAATAACTTTGAATACTTTTAGTTAATTAACAACAAATTTTGATTATTAATTTAATATTAATTAATAGTAAATAAAATTAGGGAAATTCTTTATTAGTACCATGTACTTTGGCTCAAGTGACAATTTGGTCCCTGAACATTAAAATGCGACAATTCAGTACCCAAACTTTCAAAATGTGACAATCTAGTACCTAAACTTTCAAAATCTAACAATCCAATACCTACCATTAACCAGTCCGTTAATCAGTTGTTAAGTGACATTTAAAAAGTCAAAAATTCCCAATGCCATCTAATTCTCTTTATCAACCATCCAAACATTGTCAATAAAATGAACAATCCTAAATTTGGGACTATTCAATTTTTTGTCAATGTTTAGATGGTAGATAAAGAGAATTAGATGGCATTCGAAGGACATGTTTGATATTTTCAAATGTCACTTACTGAATTATCAAATTTTGAAAGTTCGAATACTGAATTGTTTGGCATTTTAAAATTTGGGGAACAAATTATCACTTGAGCCAAAATACTGATCGGAAATTTTCCCATAAAATTATTAAATCTTTCATGGCTTAGCTTACGTTACAGTCGAGTCCTTCTAAAAACGGACCAAACCCAGTTACCCACAACGCCTACAAAATCACAGAATACCTACAATCTGCAAATCTTGCAACTAAACGGCGTGAAGTTCGGCCGAGTTTACAAGAAGCGAAGAAGAATGCATCGTTGCAGAGTCTTTGTTAACGGTTGCAGAAACATCCATTACTCCCCTTCGAAGCTCTTCTCTCAGTAACAAGCAGTCCGCCGAAAAGATGCTGGTCCAATGGCTTCTCTTCTCAGGAATCAATCTGTCATTAGATTTCGTGGTCTTGGCACGATTAAATTTCTACAGGACCTCTTGACCAACGACGTCCGGCGGTTCAGTGAACCAGTACCGGAGACAATGTCCCCTTTGATTACACCCAATCTTTCTACCGTCTCTGTCCTGCCATTTTATGCTACAAGAGATTCCTTTATGACTTAATCACCCTCCCCGGTCCGGTGATAAGCTCGACAGGACTGCCTCGGTTCCCGGTTCAGCCCCTGATGAGGAATTCGATCGGTTGGCAGATTGATGCTACATTGCTACTGTAGTGGATGAGCTTCTGGAATGCTTCAAGAAGTAATTTCTACTTTTGATGGTACCGCAATCGATCTCTGCCCCTTTTCTTTATACCCCATATTAGTGTCTATTGCCATCTTGTTTCTGGGGCCATCGTTTCTTGCTGCCCGTTAATTTATACTCCAAAGGACATGATTTTATTTTATGCTTTTCTTTTTCCCTTATTCTTGTTAGAGCAACAAACATTGAGAATGTAACAAGGATATGCCTTCGCATGCTCTTTTTAGATTATTTAAAAGATGGAATGGAAACAGTTGGGGGCCATTTTAAATCTGTTTTCGAAAATTACCCTCCCAGTGAACTAGTGCAAGGATAAAGAAAAAAATGGGAAGGGAAAATTACAAAAATCTTCTACCTTTATGTTTACCAACATTGTTGTACAGGGGAAACCCCAAACATAATGATTGTGGTGGGACGGAGGGAGTAAAATTCTACAAGTTTCATTCCATTTACAAGTATTAGAAAAGAATAAATAGATTAAGACACTAAATCCAAATAATGAAATGAGCAGTCTTACCTTCATTTCCCATGCCAGTGTCCAATTGCAATCCATATTTAGAAATCTTAACTAAGATATCCAGGGCATAAAAGGTACACTTACCAAGTGCTAATTATTTCAATTCCAGGTACAATCCTAATTACCAGAACCAAAATTTGAATTTAATGTCATATCTAAAGAGAGAACTTTGATTTGTGAATATATAATCCTACAAAGATCAATCATTATATGAGCTAATCATCATTGAGTGTGTTTACATTAAGTCTTGACTAATCTGTGCCGATTCATAGGACAACAGCAACAAGATACTCCCTAGAGTGTTTTATCTTATTTACAATATTAGGTATTGGATATACTTCCATCTAACTATTGTTATGGATTTATGCAATGGAAAGAAAGCACTACTGTTGTGGATTTCTATGTATATTATTGCTGGATGGTTTTTATTTGATACTGGTCCCTCTGTGGATAAGTCACATGGACTAGTTGGCCTCTTGTCCTGTTTTATATAGTGCTGCGACTTGGGTTGAGCATTTGCCATGTTATGAATGGGCCTGACCATTGCTGTGTAAGTTCTTCAAATCGGGTACTCAATTTGCACCCTTAGGGTCCGTTTGGTTTGTAGTTAGAATCGGAACCGGAGTTGGAATAGTCCATTCTCATAATCTGTTTGGTTCAGACAAGAATAGGAATGGGAATTAAAATCAGCAGGAGTGAGATTCCATTCCCAAAGGAGGGGCAGGGAATGGCCATTCCCTCAAATGGGAGAATGGCATTCCAGTAGGAATGGGAATGGGATTCTGATTCCGCCCAACCAAACAGTTGGAATCAAAATAGCCCATTCCGATTCCAATTCCAGACCCTTATTCCTGTAAACCAAATGGACTCTAAAGTCTTGTACCATGTTTTCCCTAGTAACAGTAGTATTTTTGTATGAACAGCAGTTGCTTGGTGCAATATAGAAAACACCTGGACTGACAAGCATGAGGAAGAAGGTTTCAGTCGACCCCTCCCAATACTTTGGATAGCTGGGACCAGTATTGTGTATTGACCTTTTTCAATATTGTGGGATCACTTGCCAAAAATCTTCAAGTGAGAAGCTTATTAATTAATAAAAATAGCATTGTGTTAGTACTGCAGGAAAACTATTCTATGCCTTAGATTATGTTATGTTACACTGTTTTATTTCCCGAATCTTCAATAAGAAGCTAATTATTAACTAATAGAAGTACAAGTATGACATTAGTGTAGGAAAACCATTTATGCCTCAGCAGATGTTCTGCAATACTTTATTGAAAGTTGAAACATCAAACATATAACAAGCTAATAACTTAAACCTCCAAGACATTAAAAGCTAACCATATGTAATGCTTGGCTACAATCATAGGCAGTGTACTGCCAATGTGTTTGGTTTGGTACGATTTAGACACATTTCCAGTACTTTTCTCATTTTGCTAAAGTACCGAGGAAACCTACAGAGTTGTTGTATTAACATAAGAACAACAGTGCATGTTGTTTCTTTCAAATAATCTATTATCAGATTTATTGTGCAACTGAGAATTGTGCCTTTATCATGTCTGTATTTGATACTACAGATACCGGTTGAGATTGTGAATGCTGCCTAAGAATTCTCTTCCTAGCAGCACTTTGGTAGAGGCATTTCCAACTCATCCACAGAAGAACCAGATGCTGCAGCTCTTGGCTGCCGGGGTGCTGTGTTGATCGGGCATCTCAGCTTCAAAGGCAAATGATCATGTGTGGCAGTGGTTCAAGGATCCCAGATTGAATGGCTTGGTTTTAGGGGGATCTTTCCATCAAATACAATACGTAAGTTGCTATTGTATTAGTGCTTCTTGTGTTTGTTATATCTGATAACCAAGAAGTAGGATTTTGAGATCTAGTTTGTTTTTTGCAGCACCATTGGTCAAGTCTGATAAGGAAGGTTGGAGAAGGGGGTTGCAAAGGGCTTGACCAAGACTCCTAAAGGTACATCCATTTTATGAGTAGGCCACTAGACCAGGAGCAAAGGTCATTGAGAGTGCATCCAACAAGAAGCCTGGGATTGTGACAACAGCACTTGTGATGTCATGGGATGGGTCCGTTGAGGCTAGAGGAAGCCTTTAAAGGAACAGGTACCTTGAGTAACAAAGGGCAGGATGACATGAAATTTGAAGCTATTAGACCAAAATGGTGGCCTACTAAATGGTTTTCCTGAGCATCAAGAGCACCATGCGGTTGCTTAGAGTTGTGATTTTTCAATCAACCTTGGGTCTGACAATCTAAGTCCAAGTCCAATGGAATACCAACTGCATCAAGATAATAAAAACTCATGGATTTTTTCCTTATTTTCTGCACTTTTTTTCCAATCAAAACTCCCCCATGAATTTGATAAAGAACCACCTGATTGGTTACCACTTTTGTTATACTGGTTGATTGGTTACAAGTTTTTACCGTGTCATAGTTGAACCCCACTTGAAATTGATATCTTAGGTTGTTTAGAAACAATGGAATGTGTTTATCTTCTTGAAAACCTGAGAGTATTTTATTGATAACCAATAACAGATTATATTTTGAAGGATGAAGTTAATGATCTAACATGCAAGGCTTTAAAAGACTAGGTGGAGAGACAAGGCAATTGGACTGGAGGGGTTTGGCCCAGACCTGAATGTGTTTTGAGGCTAAAAGAATCCAAACATTACACACAACAAAAGACCAATAAAACAGTCAGTTAAGGCTGTGTTTCGCTTGAAAGAAAAGGTAGGAAAACCTACACAAGATTTGTACAGGTTTCCCTTCCTTTCCCTACCTTTTCCATGAAACCAAACACAGCCTAAATTTTAATGTAATGTTGTTAATTTTAACTTTTAATTGATCATACAGCTGCCTTGTTGACTCCTTTCCGAACATGTACCCTGATCTATAAATTCCATTGACTTTTCAATTCAACTTCACCCTTATAGTTTTACATAGGCATTGCCCATGGCATCCTTATGTCTTACCACACCATGATCAGACATGTTAGTTTTGAGGCAAGGTCCAAAGGGTATACACCACAAGGCAAAATAGGACCATTATGCCTTGTCTTACTAGCCTCTCCTTTCATGTGAGTGCACTGCCCTTTAAGGCGGGTAAAGGAAAACCTTCAAGTTCAGGACAATCTACTAATCTGTTAGAATTTAGACAAATAAAATAAAGGGAACGGATGGTTTTGGTTAGGTACATAGGGCATTTCTGAGATTAGAGAGTTCTTCGGATCAACTTTATGCTTTCTTCTCTCTATCTTTGTGGTGGCTAACAAGTGGAGGAGAGAAGACCTTTGAGCTGATTCATGATAGGCAACAGTAACTGCATTACAGTGCCTTCATTTCAGACTATTAACATGGCTGAAAGCATTTGAGTGGTTTCACAAAGATTGGCTAAAAGCTTCACTTGCAAAGCCCTCCAAGTTTGATTAACAGATTAAGCAGATAGAGACTGCCACCAAGACTTTTAAAAAGGGAAAGAAAGTAATTACAGAGGACCTGCAGTGAGTAACTGAACTTTAGATATAATTGACTTCCTTTTGGATAAATCAAATTTAAAAAGATTTTAAGCTGAGATTGATACATTTAGTTATAAGGTAACTAAGCATATGTAGACAGAGACTGCTTCTCTTGGTATACCTTATTCTTGTTATCTCAATTTGTAAAAGATAAAGGAGAAATTCTAAAAATTAGAATTACAGTTTCCCTTCAGCAACTTACGGTAATATATATTATAAGTAAAATCATTGTATCCTAAAGTCATTAGTTCTCCGACTTATTTTTTGACTCAGAAGACCACTCACTACTAGTCATTTTTAGTTGTGAGATTGGTTTTATATGTACACCATAAGACACAAAAGACTAATCCCAAAGCATGGCAGATATGTTGGGTTTTATTTTATCCTTTTTTGGCCATTGGTATAGGGTTCAGAGGTATCCCTGTTTAGATATTTGGATTTTGGTTACAGTAGATTGATGGACTCAGTGTGCAGTTTGAGCTCAATTATTTGCCGTCTGAATTTCATTTGTTTCGATGTAAATGCATGAAAGTTTAAATAGGATGAGTGTAAATTCTGGTTTTTTACTCTTCCTTCATATTTGACTTTGTCTTATTTGTTAGTGATAAATATGTGGTCCCCATTTTATATGAAAGAGAATGGATGTAGGAAGAGGGTTATTTGTTTGGAGCGAGGTAGTAAGCAAGAAGATATGCCCCACTTTATTTGACAGAGAATATAGGTAAAAAGGTGGTGCAAATTTTACATTAATTTTTGGGAAGCAAAATTTGGGCTCCCAGTGGTTGTAAATGAGACAAAAAAAAAAAAACAAATTTTGCATCAGATAGGAGTACAAATTATAATCACAACCAAACAAACAGATGAAAAATTGAACCAGGTACAAAATTTGTATCCAGTTGAAATATCCACAGCAAGGAAACAATGCCTTTGTGTTCCAAATGGTTACAATGAATTGCACTTACGCAATCATCATCTATATTTACTACATTTCACAAGAAATGATAGACTTCTATAAAAATGGAGCATTTAATATGTAATGTATATAAATTTTGATTACATTTTATATTATCATAATATGTTTTAAAATAAAATATTACAAAATTGGCCCAAACTGTTCTTTTCTCTATGTTATTTAATCATTTTTTTTCTCTATTTTGCAGGGCGTTTATTTTGTTTATTACAAGCTCACATCCTCCACTTAAAATTTATTTTCTACTCCACACTTAAGGTTTTTGAGAATTAGAAAATAAACCTCTTGCAAATTGAGGCACATGCCTCGTATCAGTTGATTTATGACTATGAGGCTATTCAAAACCATGTTAAAGGAAAACAATAGTGACGACATTTCATGTTGCATGGTACAAAATTGCTTTTCTTCGATTTTCTACTTTTCTCTTATTTTCTATAAAACCAAACATAACCTGAGGTATTGGTGGCAGACGCCCCGTTACTGTTAGTTATGTCAAAAGCTTCAACGGTAATTATAATAACATGGTGGATAAATTGAAATGATAATCTCAAGAGGTTCAAATTATAAACTCAGCTACGCTCATAGGAGAGATGTTCCGCTTTACATGTGTAGACTGTAGACCAGAGCACCAGACTCGAGTGTGTTGGTCTAGTATTTGGGTTAGATCAATACTTTAAAACTGTAGAGAATTAGAAGATATTTAGTGCAGATCCAGTGTTCCTTTACTCCACTCAAATCCTAAGGCTCACTTTGGAAGCAGCGCAAATGCAAATATGTACAGTGTAAATACATACATAATAATTTTGCACTCTACATATTTTCATTTGTACTCCTTCCAAACTCAGTCTAATGTGCAAGACGACCAGCCAAAAGAAGTGTCTTAAATTCCAGAACTCTAGAAGGCACTTGGTGGTTATGGTTGAATCGGGAAATACTTGGGGTTGGCTCCTACTACATTGGAGGATATGCATCCTACCATGCATAACTATTTTACACATTGATTTTAGGGTATAAGGTTAGGATTTTAAAGATTTAGGGTTTTAGGATGTAAAGATTTAGAGTTTAGGGGTTTAGATTCTAGGGCTTAAGATTTAAAATTACACTTTAGGAATTTAGGCTTTAGGGTTTAGAGTTTAGATTTTAGGATTTTTGGATTTAAGATTTAAGGGTTAGAGTTTAAAAGTTCAAAGTCTAGATTTTAGAGTTTAGATCTAAAAATCAGGTAGTAGGATGCATGGCTTCCCACTGTCCCACATAGTAGGAGCCAAGTATTGCCCAGTTGAACCGTTCGGTACAAGGGATCTCAATGCATTATATGAACCTTTCAACACATTACATGATGAGTGTGGGTCCCATTCTTTTAGATTAAACGGGTTATTAATTACAAACCAAGATGATTTGGTTTCTAAATTAAATAGAATAAATCCAAACTAAATTTACCACAACGAGGATAGTTGTTTCCTGCTCAGTATGGGGTGGTCATTAACCAGTGAATCATGATGATAAATTTAAGACGACTACAAGACAAGAGTTGCATTTGATACTACTAGGTTTCTTTTTATTATTATTTTTTTTTATTTTGATAAGCATTAAAGTTGTGGTTTAATACGAGAACTTCCTAAGAGGTCATCCATCCTAGTATTATTTTAGCTCAAACACGCCTAAATTCGGAATTCTTATGGAATCCAGTGAACTGATATTTTAGGTTGATCAATACAAATTGGCAGGCATACTTCATGTGGGAGGATGTTTTTATAAATGTCAAATTGATGTTTTAGGTAGAAACAACAATGGTATCAATATTCTAACTGAAGTGACTCATGTGATGTGCAATTCATTTCTCTTACCAATTTGTATTGATCAATTCAAAACATTCATAGCAATGACACTAAACACACCGGAAGTGGGGCCATTTTGCCTTATCATAGTCAAAGGTTGGCCATGTAAGTTGAAGCTTTAGACTGTTGATCTATTGCCAAGATAATCTGTCGAACTTTTTCTTCCACTGTTTTTCTTTCTCTCAATTTATCTCATTCAATTTCATTTGTGGAATTGGAAGGGAAAATATGGAATAATTTGGAATATCCTCCTCTTCCCATGTTTGGTTTGTGGGATGTCATGAGATGGGATGGGATGGAAAAGATGTAGAATTATATATCTCAATTCGTGGGATGTGGAATCCCACCATTTTGGTGGAAAACAAGTGGGAATGTGGGGAGAATTTGTTTAAAAAAAACACCTTGTAGTATTTCTAAGAGTTAATATTAGACCCATGACCGATAAATAAGTTATTGATTTTTTATAACATATTAATAAAATAACTTAATCAATAATCAATTAATTGTTTAGAATAAAATATAAAATTATTAATTAAGTCACAAGTATTAATAATAAAATTAAATCATCAAATTAACTAATTAACTAATTAATATCAGATCAATAATAATATACTAAATCATCAAATATTATTAGTTAATTAAAAGCATTTTATTATTAATTAATTTATTAAAATAAATTTAATAAAATAATTACTCAATAAAAGATAATTTAATAATTTATTAGTAATTAATATTAAAACAATAAAAGTATTAATTAATTCATAGTAAATATTTAAAAATATTATTTAAAGTATTAATTATTAATTAATAAGTAATTAACGAATTATAAATATTAATTAATTATAAAGTTAACTAATGATTAATAATTAATTAATAGTAAAATATAAAAGAATAAAATTGTTATTAATTACCTAATTAATTAATTATTGTTTTTAGGTTGATTTTCCCACTATTTTCCCTATTACAACCAAATAATAGAACGCAAAAATTCAACACCCATTTTTCCTTTCTCATCTCATACATCCCATCAAAATCTGCGCACAAACCAAATGCAGCATTAAAGATTTTGGATTCTCAATGGTCCCAGACCAGATTTCAAAACATTGGTCCTGATTTCAATCTTCTGTCATCATTAATTCACGGATCTAATAAAGGAAACCCTAGTATAGTAGAATGTATACATGTATAATATAGCTGCCTAAGATTACAGTGAGAGTTGTTCTATATGTTTTAATTTAGGATGGCCTATTAGGCATCATATTAACAATGCAAATTACCAAAACTTGAATGATGAAACCAGATTCCTTGTCACGTGATCCTGCCTCGGAAATCGCATCAAGGATGGATTTGTTCAGTGGTTGGATAGAATCAACATGTGATGGATTATATGTAGGTACCTAAACACCTCCATCCAGCTCTGCTTTGCCTAAAGGATGTTTTGTTTGTCTTTCAAATGGCCACGAACTTTCAAACAAACAAGAACTTGGTCAGTGTAGTGTAGGTAAACCGTAAACCCCTCTCTCTCTCTCTCTCTCTGTCTTAGCTACGTTGGGTGAAATGGAGGTTGGTGCCTTTGTGCATGAAATCAAATGTTGAGGGGAGAAAGAAAAGGAAAGAAACAAAAGCTAAAAGGGAAGAAGAGAAAGGACAGAGTTGCAGATCAAGAGAACGACAAGAAATGTTCACGCACCAACGTCTGTTGAAAAGTTGGGAACATACAACCCAACTCAACATGTTTCATATACTGCTGGTAGGGCAGTGGTTAGTTGTATGATTCGGATTAAATCAGTCAGGATTTAAGTGCAATAGAATAAAATTCGAGTCCGAACGTATACCAAGCACAAACAGAACCAATCAAACAACCTGGAGTGGACGACGACACACGATAAGTCTGTATGTTACTCAATTTCAGTCCCACTCTTGTCATCTACCCGCTGGACTCTTCTTCTGGACTTGCTGCAGACTGCCGTGGGACTGGCTTCGACATCACCCATTTGGATTTCCTTAAACTTTTGGTGTTTTGTGTCTTTGCGTGGGCTGATTTCCTGTAAATTGATCTCATCTCACCCCGATTTACATGTAACCTTCTTCACAATCAACAGATTAATTCTTGTTGTTTTCCCTTTATCGGGTAATGGGGATTGGGGAGTGCTGTTTTTTGCTGTATGTTTTGCTATAATTTATCTATACTACTAATAAAAGAGTGAATAGTTCCATTTTCTGGACTTTTTATTAAACAATTTTGCCCCTTATTTAAGCAATATATACCGGATATAAGAAAGGGTATATATATCCTTTACTCACTCAAAAAGCTGCCCACTTATAACTGTTCAAAAATTGTCCATTTGTAACTGTTCAAAACTATTCATGAATGGTAAATAATTTTATCTTGGAGATATTGTTACCTGCAAATACATGTACATGTTTACTAGTAACTTCAAACGTTTGAATGACAATTCTAATCGTTTGCTCTGCTACTGCCACTGGCTTTTCTAACCCCTTCAAACAACTTAAAACATCACTTTTTTTCAACAGATGATGACTTTGTAACAGTCTTACATTTCTGATGTGGGTTAATCTAAAACCACTTTTCCTTTCGTTTGGTTGCAGTGCAATTTTATTTGTACTAATACAAATGCATAAGAGTGCAAAACTGCAAATGAAAAAAACATTGCAAATTCTCGTTTAACTTTTTTTGGATTTTACTTTATCTTGATTCATGACTTAATTTACTTCATTTGTACTGCAATCAAACAAAACAAACTAGAATTTTGAAACAACAATAAGTCGGGATTTACACTCAAAATCATTTGCACTGCCATAGTTTTGCATCAGTACAAATTTGTTTGCATTGCAACTTGCAACGAAACACAGCCACAGATGTTGTGAATAGCAACTTAGTAAGTATCTCAATTTACCACTCCATTGAAAATTTGCATTTCTATCCATCAGACCAGGACCAACTCTGATGTGGGTTAATCTAAACACCCCTTTTGGGGTTCAAGGAAGGATCAAGCCTACCCATTTTAAGCAGGGCTAGTATGTCATGTCAACCAACGAAATCCAAACCGGTTTTATGGTTCAAATATTGATATTTCTCAATGCAACCCAAAAGCAGGTTTGTCTAACTGCAACCTCAACAAGTGATCATGTTGGATAGTGAATACAAGATTGCAAACTCATTGGTCATGATTTTGAGTAGAATAAGCATTAGCTATTAGGGGCTACAAGTACATGTACACCCAAGAAGTAATGAAAGAAACCCAACTTGTACACGGCTAGAGATCAAATCGATACAGGTTAAATGAGGGCAAAAATACGTTCCGCTCCCGTCTCTATCTCCCAATTACAAGGGCCAAAACACATTAAGACGCACAACTATTCGTCCTTAGTGAAGGACAAATCATGGTTAAGAATTTAAGCACAAGGAGATTTAGCATTGAAGAGATGGTGATGTCTCCATCTCTCACACCCCACCCACTACTGAGGAAATTTTGCAAGCAGGGGACCAAATTAAGTCATCAGAGCCTAGGCCTCAGGAACCACTGCGGATCTTACTCAGCTCTTGAATCACCATCTCCATGTTGGGTCGCTGGTTTGGAGATTCATGTGTGCAGACAAGTGCAATTCTCACTAGCCCTGCAGCCTCAGGTTCAGAGAACTTCCCCTGAAGATTTCCATCCATGAAGTCTTCAAACCTGCATGATTCAGCCCCAAGACGCATTGAATGGGTTATCATCCGCTTCCCGGCAAGGATCTGTAACATAATCATCCCAAACGCAAATACATCGCTCTTCTCTGTGAAGCGACCAGTGGTTGTATACTCAGGGGCTAGGTATCCCATGGCAGCGCTGGCCTTGAGTGCTGAGAAGACAATGTCATCTGCAAGGAGCTTGTGCAAACCAGAATCTGAGAGTAGAGGATTGAACCGTTGATCAATGAGCACCTTCTCGGCTGATATATTTTGATGAACCAGAGCAGGCTTGTTTGCTTTGTTGCTGTGTAAATATTCAATACCTGGTTGCAAATAAATAGCATCAAATATTAATGTCTCGAGACAAGAACAAAATAAAAGTAAAAACATCCAAAAGAATTCTCCCTCATCGACCACTATTCAATTTCCTGGTTCACTTTGAACAGAGCAGTCAAAATACAAGTTTCAGAGAGTAGGCAAAGTAAAGGAATCAGTAGGCCAAATCATCACAAGGCAGGTAAACCTCAAGGTAATTTTCACATGCCAAAAAACTTCAACCATTTGAAGGAATTACTCAACAACTCACAGAAACAAAATCTCCCCAACCCATTGAGATAATTTCACTATATAAAATGAATCAATAGATGATATCATGAGTTTATGAGTACAAGGCTAAGAACAACCCAATCAAGAAAAAGCAGATGAAAAAACTGACCTTTGGCTATGCCAATAATGATTGAAACTCTGGTCGACCATTCAAGCACACGGGCATTGCTGTCCTTCACATCAAGATACCATGACAAGTTTCCATTTGGGACAAAGTCATAAATGAGAAAGCATTCACCCCTGGCTCTTGAACAGCAAAACCCTCTTAGCCTTACAAGATTTTCATGTCTCAAAGAGGCTAGAATGTTCAACCCCTTCAAAAAGTCAGCTTCCTCAGACTTGCAGCTAGTCTTGCTAATGCTCTTGATAGCAACAACAGAACCATCTCTCAAAATCCCTTTATAGATTGCCGAGAAGTTACTCTTGTCCAACAAGTTTACCTCAGAGAAGTACTGTGTTGCAGACTCCACCTCATCCAAATTGAACCTAAAGGTCTTGAGGCTTTCCTGGGAGAAGCCACTTCCACTCCGCTCATCAGCCAGTGGATCCCATCCATTAGAGTACTCAAGACTGATGAGTGGAGAAGCACTCTTCCTGTAGACCTCCTTGGCTTGGTCAGTGCTAAGCCGACTATCCAAACTATCAAATGCACTCCCAATCTTCTGTTTCCGTCGACGATACCATGAAAATGTGAGAAGGCCAGTAACTGCCAATGCAACAGTAACTGAGACAACTCCAACAGTAACAGCTATTTGGGAAGTTTTTGTTGAATTCAAACAGTGGGTCTGGTTGCAATGTGCCTGTAAATTGGCAGATTCTGGGATGTCTCTCGTAGCAAGGCCATTAGTGCCTGGTCCAAAGGGTTCAGGTCTGTTGGGGTTCAGATGATCTGAAGCACTGCAAACTTGCAAGGTAGAAAACCCAACTCCACATAGGTTCGAGTTATTTCCATACTGAAATCCTTCATTGAGTCTCTTCAAGGCTTCACACATTGAAAAAATTGGGAAGAAAAACAGATAAATAACGGGTTTTTAACTTCATCCCAAAACATAATAAAACTGAAATAACAACAGAAAAACTCAAAAGCATAGATTATAAGAGAGAACAATTACCAGGAGGAACATTGCCCGAAAGGGTGTTGTTACGAACGTCTAGAACTTCCAGAGTAGGAACATCAGCTAGCTTTACAGGAATTGAACCAAAGAGTCTATTAAAGCTCAAATCCAGCCTCATGAGCATTTCCAGATCCCCTAAACTCGCGGGAATGGCACCAGATAACTGATTAAACTGCAAAGCGAGAACGGTTAGCCTCTTCAAAGACCCCAGCTGCGTCGGTATGCTTCCCGTCAACTGGTTATAGCAGAGCTGCAAGACTACACAAAAAACAAACCCCGATAAACCAAGTGCAGAGAAGAACTGAAAAAGAAAAGAAAAAATCTGAAACAGTAACTAAGGTATTTCGATGTCCCGTTCCATTATCTATCTCAGAGACTACAAATGTTCCCTAAAAGAATGAAAATCTGGACATGAGACGTTGAAACATTAATTTAAGAATAAAAGCAGTACTCTCTGAACAAGTTTAGTTTCTCTTTTTCATTTCATGCAGTTTTACATCTTATGCTACAGACTCTACCCGTTCCAAACGGAAGACAGAAAATGGGGAGGAAGAAAAAAGATCCAAAAAAACTGAAAGCAATATTGAAGTTATTTTCCATTACATTCAGAGATAACAAGTCACCTAGGACTAGGAGATAACCCATTTGCTCAAGATGTGGAGAACATAAATCAGCCGAGCCTACTAACAACAAAAACAGTGAAAAAGAACAGGAAAAATTTTTCCTTTCAGTTTTTTCTTTTTTTTTCTTGTCCTACCACTTCACTCACTTCCACATATAGCCCAAGAAACTATTCAAGTTGCCGAAGAAGTAAACCACAGATAAAGATAACTTCGGGGAAGGAAGGATAGACAGAAAAAAATATATTTATCAGTAAACAGAGACGAGTTTTGTGTCTTCTGACTACTAACCTTGAAGACTAGCCATGTTTCCGATTTCCGAAGGAATGTTCCCAGAGAAATTGTTGACATTGAGATAGAGATCAGAGAGCTCAGTGAGATTGGAGATTTCTCTGGGTATCCCTCCGGATAATGAGTTGAAATGTAGATACAGACCCGATAAGCTTTTAAGGCCAGCAACTGCCGGAGGAAGCCTGCCGGTGAGACCCTTCCCCACCAACGAAATGTTGGCCACTTTTCCAAGCTCGTTACACGCCACACCTTCGAAAGAGCCACTGCACGGCTCACCGTCGCTAGTCCAAGAGGAAAGGAACCTATTTTCTGGGTCGAGAGCAGCCTTCATCTCCATGAGGGCGTTGAGCTCTGGGTTCCCACAAGCCAGTCTCAAACTAGAGAATGCAAAGAAAGCGAGAACACAAAGGAGAGAAGCCAACAAACCCATCTCCGGTTCACACCAAAGACACCAAGAAATCTCTCCTTGTCCGTTCCTATCTCTCTATATCTTTGTTTTTCTTTAAGTAATGCAGCAGAGAGATTGAGAGAATTCGAATCTCGGAGGATGATACGGCATGCGGACTCCACAAGGGAATGGAAAGTAACCGGTCAAGCTCTCTGCTTCTCTTATCGTACCAAGAGAAGATAGTGTGAAACTGGAACAGAAAGAGGAGAGAGAGAGAGAGAGACAGAAGTTTTTTCGAACAAATTTTGTAGACACGAATGACAATACAGCAACGACAAGGGGGCATTACCAAAACCAGAACAAAATAACTACAACCGTTTGATCCATCATGTGGTTTCGGAAAACGGGGAAACGAAAAAGATGGTGGACCGTCCGTTCTGTCAATCTCTCACATTCAGTGATTCGGAAACATAAATACCCTTTATTGGCTCTTTGGAGTTCACGCCAAGAGAATGAGACGGGGTAAAATCGTAAAATTACCTCTTGCTTACTGCGTATATTTTTGGATTTCACTTCACCCGCTGCATTGCAACAAACGGAAACGAAGCTTTGTACAAGGGCGTGTTTGGTTGTCTTGCAGAGAAAAAAATCCAATTTTTTTTAATGAATCGGATTCTAAGTAAAAAACAAGTTGATCAAACTCATAGTGGGACCCACATGAACTCCGTTGTTGTTTATTACTTATTAGCAACCAACCGTACTTTTCTGCTCAAGCTCAACAGTTGTCTCTCTGGCACTCTGCTCCTCAAATCAATCCGATCTGACATCAAAAGACTACTTCAACCCCAAGCGGCCTTTACCAGTTCAATTAATTAACTCGTACTTCTCGGGGCATTTACGGAAACACATTCTTTGAGAGGAAGCTAATTATTACTCGGAGCTCGGAAGCAGAATAAAGTAATGACTTTGCGTAAAACATTTCCGGGTTTCGGGTTTGCCAGACAACGCGAAGATTTAAAAAAGCTTGTCCTCGAGTTCGGATCCTGAGATCCAAACAATCAGAGGGGGTGTCCAGTGTCCTCTTGCATCAGACGGGCGCAACAGTTTACTCCGGTCTTCGGATCAGACGATGTTGATTCCTTCTATGGTAAAAGACAAGGAAAAACCTCTATAGAGCGAGTGGCGACAGCTTTCTTGAAATTCACGGTCTCAAGATTTTTCCATTTTATCGCGAGAAGAGATGGAAAATTTACTTTCAGTATTTTATTGTTTCCCTGCTTCTTGGCGTGAAGAGAGGAGCCAATCAGCCCACATTTATTTCGTTTTCTAATTTCCTTTTGAATTAAAGGGAGAAGAAATTGGTAAATATGAGGCATTTCAAATTTCAAATTTGTTTGCGAAATCTCGTACTTGATTACGTGCCTTTTTCTCGTGAGAGAAAACCCTCGTGATTTGTGCACGGGACTTGACTTTGATTGCCACGTGTTAAGAACGAAATTTCTTTTTTGTTTATTAGTAGTTAAAGAGAGACGCAGGGCTATTAGGTATAACGACAGATTATTAGTTTTTCTTGACATTCCTCATCCTAATTTTTTTTTCTCCTCCTTATGGGTAGAAGCCAAGAATCTCTGAGAGGAGTCTGAACATTCAGAGTGGGCAATGTTACTTTTGTACGCTTTTCACCTTGGGGTTTGTTTGGACTGTGGAATTTGGGATGGAGTGTGGAGTGGTTATTGGCTTGACCCGCCAGAGTCCAGTATTACACCATCAGGATTCAGGGGGGTCATTTTTTAATCCTGATTTGGTGGGTCTCTCACCCACGACCCACCCTTGATTGATGACTCTCATGGAGGAGATCTTGACTCATTCAAGTGTCAAAAAAACACTGACCTTATTTCTACCAACAATAAACGATTGAGGACCAAACATAGGATAGCTACATCCTGACTTGGGCTATATTGACAACTCAAGAAAATTACTGATGTTGGGTCCCTTTGTTCTTAATTGGATACCTTCTATTCTTGGATATGCTTAGTATATATTTGACATCAATGCTATATATGTGTGTTGGAAGCATCATTTTTTGAAAAAACGATTATTTTTTTTGCTTGAAAACGTTGTTATTAGTAGAAATTATTCTAGGGCAATAGTAACACATTCTGTTTGATATCAGTATTTTATATCTGTTTTCAGCAATTGTACCCATTATAGGAAGTCCATATCACTGTCACATCATGTTTTCGTTGATAATAACGACCTCTAAATTAAGAAAATATCGAATTTGGCATTTTCCCGACATAGATTTAAAGTACCATTTTTTTATAAAAAAAACAATTCCAAACATATTACCATTTTCTAGACCAATATAGCACTGATATATCATCATTTTTGGCATCGATGCCAAACACTATCTTAAAAAACAGCAGTCTTATTTTGGATTATTAAGGTAGTATTTAGTATGGTGTGGTCTATTTTCTAAAACATGATATGTGCTTATTGATTGCACGATTCATGTACGTGTAATGCGCTTTCGTTCTTTACTTTTGATGTTATCATAATTTATTGTATAAAAACATTATGATGTTAGGAGCTATTTTGTTGAGTGAGAGATGCATATGCAAGTCTTGTGTCATATTTACATCAGCAAACCATGTTATCTCTGCTTGCAAAACTTAAAAAAAAAAAGAAAAAAACTATTTTTGAATGGACCCACCCTTTTATTACAAAAAAAAAAAAAATCAAAACACTGATTTGAATAGTGATTTATAAACCAAACGAAACATGAATATAAGCATGAACCAAATACACCCTAATTTGTTAAGTTTTGCGACTAAACCCCATGAAAACAGAGAGCTGATCACTATATTATTCTCATCAGTAACAACCTTGATCATTGTTATAAATAAATTAATGGTTTATTGATGACTTCGTTTGCATATACAGAGGGTATGGATAGAGAGAGACTAATTCCAGTCTCTTTGTTGAAAAGGATGGTTAGGGGGGATGAAAAATGAGGCGATTTCATTGAAATATGAGATGACCTCCCAAATGAAAGGCAGGAAAAGGAAGAGGGAGTGGTCCACCTAGAACAGTTAGGCATAGTCGGGCAGAATTAGGCTGAAATATCTTTCAACATTCAAATTGAGAGACTGAGGATAGAGACTATCGCTACACAAAGAAAGAAAACGCATACATACATGCAAAATTTAAAATTTAGTCCTTACCTACCGCAAGGAAAGTCTTCTAATTTATCAATCAAGACGCCTACTCACGAGTCATATCTCATTTCTCATGATTGAATCTGCCTCTCTCTCTCTCTCTTTCTCTTTCCATATAAGAACAACAGAAGAAGCCACTTAAGTGAGACAATGTGTTATCAGAAGGAATTTTTGGGGTCATGCACTAACTACCTAAATAATGTTAGGGAAGAATCATCTCTATCTTCACTTTTCACTAATCAAAAGAGATTTCTCCTCACCATGTGATTACTTTACTTAAAAGCATAAAATATCACAAGACTCGCAGCTTTTATACAATTCTTGTTTGCTTTTAAGGCATGAAAAGATTGTATTCTCTTCTAGCTATCACACATGTATGATCAAATAAATTCTAATACCCACCAAGAAAAAGGGTTATCCCACATCCACCCATTAAGAAATATGGGGTTTCCCTTTCTTCTCTCGATTGTTTGGTGCTTCAGCAGCTCCATTCGTGACCCAATGAGGGTGGAGTCGGGCCTATTTTTTAACTCTTTTTTTAAACACTTGGGTGATCCATTTGCACACAAAGGGACAAAGCAAAGGCATCTTTACTTTTCTAGGACCCTTTAGAGCGCATACCTTGGAACCACATGAGCGCATATATTTGTGGAATCCAAAGGCACCCCAGTCCACAGTCCCTAAATGCAGCAATCATTCAATTTGTCCTTGAATGCATACATGATCTCAGACAGTACATGCAAAATGACTGATGGTGAGAGGAATTATAAGATAAGGATGGAGCAGTTCTACTTGGAAGAATTTGTTTTGGGATTCAAAACGGTGGTGCCAACTTGCTCTCTCTACCTGGCACATTCCAAAGATATCTTCTCCACAGGATTAGGTTAAGTTTTCAAAGAATCACTATTTCAAGAATGAGTTTTAAGTTAAATTAATTCTGTGAAAGCATGCCAAACACAGCCCCATCATTAATACTTCACTCTTAGTACAAATGCAAATATGTACAGTGCAAATACATACACAATAATACAAAATATAAGGTTTTACACTTTGCACATTTGCATTTGTGCTGCTTCCAAATTAAGCCTCGGAGTTAGGGGTGATCATTTCAGCCCAGCCTAGCCTGCACAAGCTCGGCCCGGAAATTCCAGGCTTGGGCCTGGAAATTCCAGGTTTTGTGTTCAGGCCCGACCCAACCTGGATATATTTAAACTTACACATTTTGTGTATAATGTATATATATGTATACATATTATTTTATATTATATTATATATTTTATATATAAAATTATAACATGACATGTATAATTTAAAATATTATAGATACGTAATATTTTATATATGAAAGACAGTGGCCCGGAATCAGGCTCGGCCCGACCCGAACCCGTGTAGACTTGGGCTAAGGCTTATGTTACAGGCCCAAAACCCTGAGCCGGGCCCGGGCCTAAGCTACAACCCTTATCATAAGTGCAAAGCTCAGCCCATGATCACCCCTACTCAGAGTTTGACAAACTTAAGATTTGTCTGGTTTGCAGTTGGAATTGAAATCAGAATGGTTTATTTCCATAGTCCCATAGTCTGTTTGGTTCAGATAGGAATGGGAATGAGAATTAGAATCAACAGGAATGGGATTTCATTACCGAGTGATCAAGAATGGTCATTCCCTCAAATAGGGAAATATCCTTCTAGCAGGAATGGAAATGAGATTCTGATTCCACTCAACCAGCAAATAATTGAAATTAGAATAATCCATTTCGATTTCAATTCTAGACCCCTATTCCCGTGAACCAAACAGGGCCTTAATATGCAGTCTTCGAGTTAAAAGTTAAAACCAAGCACAAGCGAAATGCCTTTGAAAGAAAGCACAATATTTGCTTCCAAACACCTTCATACTCATAATTCATAAATATATAGTTTCTAGTTGCAGAAATAGGCACTTAACATGGACTTTGTACACAAAATTCTTTCATTTTCAAGCCTTTCTCTTAGCTTTATAGTAAAATATGCCTTTTTAATCAACCCAGCCAACCAACCTTCAATCACTTTCATGACTATGAGATGGACAACTTCCAACAACTAGAATTGGTAGCCTTTAAAGGTAAGT